GTATTAATTCTGTGTTTCTCATCCTTCTTGTTTACGTTGATGATATTGTTGTCACTGGGAATAGCATGAATGAAATTAACATTTTCAAAGAGTGCTTGAAAAGTAAGTTCTTGATAAAAGATCTAAGAAAATTAAAGTTCTTTTTAGGAATTGAAATTCTAGATTGTATTCATGGTGTATGCATGTCCCAAAGAAATAATGTTTGGAACTGTTAAATGATTTTGGCTATTTGGGATGCAAACCATGTAGTACTCCAATGGATGTTAATTTAGTCATTTCTGATTCTAATAGTTCTAAGGATCCTCCCTTGGCTGATTATTTGGGTTATCAAAAGTTAATAGGAAGATTGATTTATTTACTTGGAACACGTCCTGATATAGCTTTTGATGTGCATTGTTTAAGTCAGTTTATGCATGCTCCTAAACAGTCTCACTTAAAACTTACACTTAGAATTCTCAGGTATTTAAAATCTTCTCCTGGAAAAGGAGTCAGTCTTACAAGGTCAGATACATTTAATCTTACTGCTTATGTAGATGCCGACTGGGGTAAGTGTATTTCATCTCGTAGATCTGTTACAGGTTTTTGTTTATTTCTTGGGAATTCTATTATCTCTTGGAAGAGTAAGAAACAGAGCACTGTTTCACGCACTTCTGCTGAATCTGAATACAGGGCCATGGTTGTTGTATTCTGTGAAATTGTTTGGGTTCTCAAAATACTATCTGATTTGAACATTAATAATCTTCTTCCAGTAAATCTCTTTTGTGATAACAAATCCGCTATTCAGATTGCTAATAATCTAGTTTTTCACGAAAGAACAAAACATATTGAGATAGATATACACTATATTCGTGAAAAAATTAGTAGAGGTGTATTAAAGATTGTTAAAATTCATTCTTCTGAACAAACAACAGATATTTTGACTAAAGCTCTTGGTGTTAATCAACACAATTACATGTGTTCAAAGTTAAACATGATAGATCTTTTCAAACGTCAAGATTGAGGGCGGGTGTTAAAAGTTATATATAAATTCCAATCTTGACTTATTGACTTATTGAGTTTGAATGTCCTTTATTTGTTAGGTATCTGACAAATATGGGTTGAATATGAACATTTAGTCAAAGTGGTAGCTGGATGATAAATACAAGGGCTGCGCCTCACATTGCTGATAAATCAAAGGGTAGCGGAGCAAGAGTTGGGATTCTACAAGGACTATTCTTGACATTTCCAGATTCATATATAAAGGGGATGGGAGCCGGTAGCTTAGCTCATACGCTCATATTTTCTTCAATCACAAAACCTTTCATATACAAGATTCTCTCTCGATATTTCTCTCTTTTAAGATCTGTCTAAGATCTTCTTCGTCATCTCATTACCGAGTTAGTATTTCTTGTTTATTCTTTAGAATATGTATTAGTATATGGTTATATGTTTTCTTGTAATCAGCTTTCTTTATGTTTGTATTACTGTATTCATAATAATAATCATGTTAGTGTTTAAATCTGTTAAAACTATAAAATCAAACAAGGCCTTTCATCCTCATTTTTAGTTTATGTACTCAATTGTTATGTCAAAATTAAAGCCTTGATGAGACTGAAAGCAATGATTTGGCTAGTTTTACTATTATCCAAATCTAGTTTATTTCTTAAAACTAGGAAAGGGCTTTTCGTGTTATTGACACTGTCAAGTAGTGGAATGTCCTCAAGGTCTAATCGTTTCTTATATATCCTAAAGCAATCAAATAATGAATCCAAGAGAACGTAAGAAGACTAAATATATTGTTGGCTGCTAATGAATCCAATCAGGACAGATTCTTGATAAAATTAGCTTATGATTTCACCTTCATTTTTAACCGAGAATCCCACATTACACAAGATTAGACCGACAAATGCAGATAAAGCCATCAAAGACAAATGCTACTGTACAATTGAGTACCGAGACCATAGTTCATCAAAGACAAATGCTTGAATTATTCTTTGTCAATGTACATGTACATTGTTGTAAAACATATTGAACTTACGTGTTGGAACAGGATATGTGATGAGAAAGTCGATGAGGAAGAGGATGAGAGTCGATTAGGATTTGGATTTGATTAAGAAGAAGAGGGTGAGGATCGATTAAGGTCAATGAGGAACAAGATGTGTGATTGAGGGATTGAGGGTGAACGGACAGTCATCGGGAGTGCAATTGAGAGGGATTGAGGCGTTTTTCATTTTCAAAAATTGTTTTTAAATTAAAATTTACTTTTAAATTGAAACGTAAGATATCCATGTGTAACAGATTATGTTACCATGTCATTTTAAGTTTGACAAGTCAACAAAGAAAAACATGTTCAAAAGGTAACAGGTTACCCAATGCTATAACGGGTAAATTTTCGAAAGTATAATGTTCTAATGAAAAATATTTTGAAAGTATATTGCTGTAATAAGAAAAACTAAAAGTAGATTGCTATAATAATGAAATTTGTAAAAGTATGTTACTATTTTGCGCATTTTACACAACAAAACAAGTACTTTTAAATAGTTAGTTTGATATTAACATGAATATTTTTTTTCAAATTTTTTTAATATTTTTAGATTTATATTTTATTCAAAAATAAAACATTATCGTTTTTCTCAAAACTCTATAAAACCGTATTATAAAATCGACAGGAGACAGAAAAAAAAAACATTAAAACCGAAATGTATCTCATTGTATTGCGCGAATACCATTTTAATTTTTATATATAATTCATATATAACAAATAATAAATATGTTTTTAGAGGAGTTTTAAAAAGTTTTATTTAAGGTATAACTTAAAAATATCCATTCTTTTACTATTTTATTTGTTTAGTGTTCCATATATGTGTTATACATATTTTTTTTTTATTTAATAGTAAGTTTAACTTAAAAAATAAGAACAAAACCATAAATAATTGAATTTATGTATCTTTGACTTTTGGAAGAGAGAATTTATGGGTTGAAAAGGGGTTTTATTTGTAACCACATCTATTAAAAAGGTCAAAAAAGACTTACTAATAAAAGTAAATGGTCTAAAAGTTTGAAAAACTTTTTCTATCTCTTATGTCCCCCTCTCTCTCTCTTATTTTTTTTTATGGGTGATGATATATATGCACCATTTCCTATTGGTAGTGTGCACCCCCTCCTATCCTTTAGGTTAAAGTCAACTAATTGGATTAATTTTTTTTCAAAAATTTATGTCTTATAAATTTATGTTTTATAATTTTCTTCAACATTGTTTTCTAATTTATTTTTCTAAATTTATGTTTTATAATAAAAATTTTGCCAATTAACTATTTCTAAATTAATTCAAATAACTATAAAATTATTTTTAATTTTTATAATTGTATTGTTAACGTTTTAATTAATTAATAATTTATATATGTATTTTTTCTAAATAAATATTTAAAGCTACAAAGATAAAATAATTTAATACAAAAAAGATCATCAAAATAAATAATTGATAAATCAACAAATAGAGTACAAAAAGTCTGAAAATATTACAACTCAATCAAATGAAATAAATTTTGTAGTACGATTACAATATAACAGTTGCTCGTACTTATTTATTTGGGTCATGTATGGAGTAGCCCATGCGGTTTCRCAATCATATTTGAAACCAAACCAATTTGGCACGATAGAAGGCATGGGGTGCCCTTCTGCCAAATATATTTTAACGTAATTAATATAACTTTAGACATAACTCAATGATTACAAGATAACAGTTCATTTTTTTAGTTCCAGTATGTCTACTAAAACTACCATTACCTCTGTATTTACCACCACGATCGTATATTAATATAACTTTAGACATAACTCCACTTCATTTTATCTTAGATCTTTTCGTGACAATAATATAAACCAAGGGAACGTCCCTACTTTTGCACCCAATCGATTAAATCTTGACGAGATTTGAACACCTTGTCGGTGGAAAATTTTGATGCATGAATATCATTGTCTTGAATTGTATGGTTTATGTAAATATTATACACCTAAACATACAAATATAGAAAAAATAAACTATATTACAAAGTAGTAGATGAAAATTATATGACGAAGTAATAAGTAAAAATACCTCATCATTGGAATTTCGATAAAAATACAAATTTTCCCCTTGAATTGCTTGGTTTGTGTAAATATCATATTTCTAAACATACATGTACAAGAAAACTATATTAGAAACTATATTAAAAAATAGTAAGTGAAAATATGTCACAAAATAGTAAAATGAAAATACCTCATCATTGGAATTTTGATAAAAATGCAAATCGTCAGCGGAAGTTGCAGAGACGGACCCAGGAAATTTTTCATACGGTGGCACCATATAATTAATATAATATAATATACATCTAAAAATAATTACAAAAAATCTGGTTTTTATAGTACCAGTAAACAACTCCTAAACTTGTACCTGATACGTCTTCATCTTTTGAAAACGGTCAATATATACCCAAAAATAATTACAAAATGTATGTTGAGAAACAACTCATAAATTTGTCCTCGGCGTGGCTTCATCTTTTGGAAACGATCGATGACATCTTCGTTTTTAACATTACTAAGGGCTTCCTTTTCTATGGCGCAAATGAGGAAAGAATTCAAAAAAAATAATCACCAATTCGATTACGTAAATCTGTCTTGACAAGCTTCATCGTCGAAAAGCATCTTTCAACCGTAGCAGTTGCAACAGGCAAAACCAGTGTTAGTTTCAGTAACCGGTAGACTAAAGGATGAGAAAGATGTTTTCTTGTTGCCACCATTAATCTGGTGAGGTCGGCAATACCGTTTAAGTTGGCAAATCTAACATCATTATAAACAGAATGATAGTAGATATMAAGTTCGTGCTCAAGAATGATCCTTTCCTTGTCTTCAAAATCTCGGGGATACATTTGACTCAACTTCAATAGGCTTGATTTGTTAAACTGAGAAAACGAATTGCATGGATTCAAAGCTGCCATATTTTGAAGCAAGGCGGTGCTTATCTCACCAAAACGATCACCAAACTCTCAGATCTGCATATCCAAAACAGTGTTGAATATATTATAGTTATAATAATGTTGATTGGTAATGTTCATCCTTTTCCTTGAATTTCTTGTATTAACATAAGCTTCAGTCATATCCAACTTCACGATCTTATGTTTATCACAAAAAGAGTAGCATTTCTCCAAAACTTGATCAAACCCATTTTCCCTCAACATTTGYAATTGACCTTTGGTTGTTCCTATCAAATCAATAGCTTCCAAGATGTCTTCATCTTTCCTTTGAAGAGCTTGAGACAATGAATTTGTTAATCCCAAGATCGTTGATATCAAGTGCATGTAAAACACAAATTCAAATGCCTTTAAGTATGATAAAAGACCTCTTGTTTGAAGCCGAATAGCTCCATTATCACCATCATCTTCGACATATTCAAGCACCTGTATAACCTCTGGAAACAAAACAATCAAACTCACGATTGTTTTAAGATGAGAATTCCATCGTGTATCTCCAGCTCGGACAAAGGAAATCTCTTGGTTTAACCTCTTACCAGTCTCTATTTCGTTATTTCCAATTTCTTCTTGAATTCTCTCTTTGTGACTTTCTCGTAGCATATCTTTTCGTTTGCAAGAAGATTTTACAACAGTAACAACCAACGCAAGCAAATCAAAGAAGTCCTTAATACCTTCGTGTTTTTTTTGCAACTGCCACAACTACTAACTGAAGTTGATGAGAAAAACAATGTATATAAAATGCCGAGTCATTATCACTCAAAATCAAAGCTTTCAACCCATTGAACTTACCACTCATGTTGCTAGCACCATCATAACCTTGTCCTCTTACCTATTTTAAAGATAAATTAAGCTATTTAGCCAAATATTCAATGATATAATTAAGACTTAAAGAAAATAAATTATTAAGAAATATTTTTACCTTTGTGAAACTCAATCCATGTTTTGCAAATAAACCATCCAAGACAGATTTAAGACTTACAGCAGATGTATCCATGACATGAACAATGCCGACAAATCTTTCTTGAACAACTCCGACTTTGTCAACAAACCTCAAAACCACAGCTATTTGTTCTTTTCTAGAGACATCACTAGACTCATCCACCAACAAAGCAAATACATCATCACCAATTTCCCTAATAACGCCTTTCAACACCTCTTCTCCAAAGCAAGTAACAAGATCTTTTTGATTCTTTGGAGATGTCAATTGATTGTTCTTTGGTGCATTTTGTAATATAACCTTTTCAATCTCCCCATTTGTTCTTCTGATTAACTTTAAAGTCCCCAAGAAAAGCCCTTTGTACATAGACTTTTCCGACTCATCGTTGCCACGAAATGGTAAAGCATTCTCCAACAAATATCTACAAACTTCAACGGAAGCATTCAATCGCATGTGGTACTCGGTCTTCATGAGTTCTGTTTGTTTACGAAAAGCAACAACAATTGATTGGTTTTGGTTAACCAAATCTTTAAATTTTTTAAGTGTTTTATGGTGAAAACTATTAACCTCACCCTCATGAAGTGTAAGTCTATTTTTTTTACTCCAACTATTAAATCCCTCCGCCACAAATGCATATATCCCATGATTCCCACCTTGGTCTCTGAACAAGTAACAAGGCAAACAATATGCTCCATCTACTTATACACTGTATTCCAACCACTGAAATTGATCAAACCAATTAACAACAAACCGTCTTCCTTTATCCTCTATAACTTTGGTTGGAAAGATGTGACCTCGTGGTTGACAAGGACCCCTTACCAAGTATTTTCGTCTAATTTCGTCTCTTTGATTTGGGTTATAAGTTATAATTTTGGGTCTCTCTGATGGATCCCAAGGAAGATCGTTAACATCAATCACATTGTTGGATGCATCATTATTACCGGTTGATGATGAAGCTTTTCGTTTCAAATATTTTTCCATAATGAATGAGTTATGTAAATCTAAGTAATGAAAGCAATAATAAGTAATCAATAATGAGTAATGTAAATTAGTAAATCTAATTGTTGGGTTCAAGATTAGAGCTTAAAATTTGTATTCAAGTTTCTCCTTAGAATAGTTTTATTTGTAATATTTTAGTCTTTACTTTCCTAGTATAAATAGGAATTCTCTTGTAATTGTAATTAGTGCTTTTGTCATTAACACATAAATCAAGATTTGGCTGATGTAATTCTCTCTCTCTCTCCTAATCATTTCTTACATCATTCTTTGTGTTCTTATCAATCTATGAAGATCATATCAAGATTTGTATGAAATCTGGACTCCACAATTGGTAAGGAGTCCCATTTAAGTGTTGTTAAGCGCATCTTTCGTTATCTCAAAGGGACTGCTAATCTTGGACTCTGGTATCCCAAGGGTACTGGATTTGAACTGACAGCACATTCAGATGCAGATTATGCAGGTTGTATGCTAGACAGGAAAAGTACAACTGGACATCTACAGTTTTTTGGAGACAAGCTAGTCAGTTGGGCATCAAAGAAACAGAACTGCGTTTCCATTTCTACTGCTCAAGCTGAATATGTAGCTGCTGCAAGCTACTGTTCTCAAGTGCTATGGATGCAGACACAGCTCAAGGACTACGGGTTCTATTTTCACAAAATCCCTATTTACTGTGATTCTAAAAGTGCTATAGCTATATCTTGTAATCTTGTTCAGCATATTAAAACCAAGCATATAGATATCCGGTATCACTTTATTAAAGATCACGTAGAAAAAGGAACAATTGAACTGTATTTTGTAAATATAGAATTTCAATTAGCTGACTTGTTCACGAAAGCTCTAGATGAAAAACGCTTTAGCTTTCTTGTATCTAAGTTAGGCATGTTGAATTTGAAAATTTGAATTTTTATTAAAAACAGTTCAATTTATTGAATTGTGTTTAAKWYAAATTCATTTAGTCAAATATCTGTATTTTTCAATACAAATCAGTGTTTCATTTTTTTTATCTGATTTTAATTTCTTGATTATGGAAATCTATATTTGAGGGGGAGTATGCATTTTTTTTATCTGATCATATTTGTAGGGGGAGTAAATTTTATCTGTGTTGAACTGATATGTTAATTTTTTCTCACAGGTATGTTAAGTAATATCTAATTTTTGAAAGATAATTGAGTTTTGAAATATAAGTATTTGGTCGGTTTAGTCTAAATCCAGTCAAAGCTTGAGCGGTTTATCTTTAAACCGGACAAAGCTTGAACGGTTTATTGAGCAGATTAGACATCCGGACAAAAGGCTATATGATGAACTCTTATCCGAACAAGATTAAATATGCTTATGCAAGGATTGTGCGGATTTCAAATCCGTTGGTTGAGCTTGATTGTTTTTTTTTTCCGAGTCTAAATGTTTGAGCGGTTTAACTTTCGTTGTTGAGCGGTGTATCCTTAATTCGTTTACACCTTGAGTGGTTTATTCTTAAACCGATTACCCTTTGAACAGTTTAATCATATACCGGATGTGTCTTGACCGGTGTTCATCTAAACCGCACATGCCTTGATCGGTTTATTCTAATCCGGATACCTCTTGAGCGGTTTAGCTAATGAACGGTTTTTGACCTTTGACTATAAATAACCGTTTCATTTTTCCCATTTTTACTTTTTACCTTCTACTGTTCATCTTCACCGCTCACTCAATCCGCTCACTCAATTTGTTCAAAATCAAGCTTTGATTATCATCTCATCAATCTCGTCTTCTACTCATCGTTTTCATTCAAGGTTACGATTCGATTCATGTGTTTTCCATTCATAATTGTTAATTGTTTCGATCTGCTTTGATTTTATGGACTGTTYTTGACCGAAAACGAACTAATATTCAAAATCGATCTAATAAACTCAAAATWCTCAGATTACACCTTATATTTTAGTGTATTGTGTGTCGTTTTTTAATTTCGAGTGCGTATGTAGTGTGTATTTGGTTTGAATTTTTTTTTTGAGTATTATGTGAGTGTATTCTTTTCGTGTTTTGAACGGATAACTCACCGGTCAAGGTGATCGGACTTCAATCCGATCAACCTTAAACCGGTTGATGATTGTCCGGTTTAATGTCTTAGTGTTTTTGGACATGTGTTTAGTGTGTTGTCCGGACTTCTAATCCGGACACATTTATTTTTTGTTTTTCTTAAGTGTTTGTTATGTTGTCCGAATTCCTAATCCGGTCAATTCGTTTTGTTTGAAATTTTTTTTCCAAGTGTGTACTTTTTTTTTACTATTTTTTAGTTTAATTTTTTTTTTGGTTATTTTTTAAATTTTTTTTTGTGTATGTGAATTTTTTTTATTTCTTTTCATTTTTTTTTTGAATTTTTTTGTGAGTGTGTATTTTTTTTAATTCAAATATTTTTTAATAATATGGGTACTAATGTTTTAGATGTTTTACAGGTAAATGGCCGATC